ACTTAATATTAAAACAGGAGGTAATATGGGGAAATGAAAACAATTTATCCTATAATAATAAGAGTACTTAAATAAAAGATAGTGATGAATCTCGGGAACGCAAACTTCGTCCGCGGGAGAAGCTATGTAAACGGTATACATAATATTTTAAATTAATATATGTTTAATTTTATGTGTCATGAAATATTATATGTTTACATGTTTAATTATTATATATCATAACGATTAACATTTAATATTTTATAATTCTATTTATAATATTATGTATTTTTTTTATATAAAAAAAAAATATTTTTGTTTTTATTGCATATACATTGAGGGGAGGATGTGGTGTACACTCTCTATAATAATATCGTCGTTATCAGTTGCTGACCGGCATTCAACGAGATCAGTTTGTGTTGTGTGTTCTTATATTAAAATGTTATTCTTTTAATAACTTGTGTATTTAATTTATTATAATTTAAGAGTAAAAGGATCTACAACATTTTATAGGTAAAATGTGCAAAGTGCTTAGCGTCACTATGTAAAGAACATACATTAGCACTTTGTAGTATATGCAATGGAAATAACGATGATTTGGATTCAAATAATTAGTTTGTATACGTTTGTATAGTATTTATTTATTTTGTTTTTATTTTATTTCAAAAATTAATTTTTTTTATTTTATGATTGTTTATAACTATAATAATTTAGAACTTTGCATTTTATGTATAACGTAATATGGCACATTGATTTTTATAATAATTTTTAATGTATTAACTAAAAGCATTCAAATTTTTTTATTTATGTATATTATATAATAATAATACATTTATTTTTCCCTAAATTATTACTTACGTGATAAAATATACCTGGTGAATGATCGCTCTACGCGCGAGTAACGGTGTTTAGATCATACGCGCGAGTAACGACGGGTTAGTTCATTAGTTCATAGTTCATTCAAGTGAATAGTTCAAATGAACTATTCTTAAGTTCACTAATTTTATTGATTATACTGATATTGTTTGGCAATGAACTATTCATTTAATCACTATTAGTACAGCAGTACACAGCTCAGTAGTAGTTCACGCTACTTATGGGCAATTAAGTTATAAACTAACCTTATACCTTAACCTGAACATCATAAACTAAGAAAAAATTATTATCAATACCCTCATGACTCATGTTATCATTATCACCTAATCCAAGGTGGATATATTGACCAGTAGTCCTAAGTTAAATCAGAAATCTGATCTAATATTTGTACATTGTATGAATTTATTTTATTGTTAAATTGTTAAAAACCGTGTAACATTTTAACAATCTAATTTATTTGTTATCTAATTGTAAACAGCTATTAACCATTTACAGGATTTCGAACAACGAATCACAGAGAATTTTTAAAGAAGTTCGCGAACTATTTCATTTATACATGGCTACCAATTTTTTTCGAACTGTGAACTGTTAAGTTACAGGTACTGAAACAGTTCAGAATAGTTTATCTAAGTGATTAGTTCAAATGAACTATTCGTTCACGAACTTAACATCTCTAGAGCTGACATGACCGCAGGGTGTCAAACGTGTGACAACGCCGTGGCCGTGTCACAATTTAAATTGATAATTATTATTTAAGTTTATATGTAGTTTGTATTAAAATCACAAATTATTTTACTGTAGCTAATACCTCATCTAAACGTTTTTATTTTGATGTTTCGTTAGTAATATTAAATAAATCCAGTATGGAAAATAGAAGAAAATAATGATACTGAACATTTTACGAAGGTAAATATTTGTTTTGCAACAGTTTACTACAATAAATTGTAAATGAAATTGAATAAAATTTCTATATTAGATTGTTGATTATCAAAAATTTGATATTGAATTATACCTTAATCAAATATTGTTTGATACTGATGTATATCTTGTGAGTATTTATATTTGTACAAATTATTTGAAAAATAAATAGTAGCACAGTGGGGTCGTGGCACAGTATGGATGTGGCATAGTTAGGACAAGTATAGATGATCTCTGACAGTGATTAAAATCGCTATCATTAAAAACGGATTCGATGAAAACCTGTAGATAGTGTTTAATTTTTAAAAATTGGTGAATTATTCCAAAAGCAAAATTTACTTCTATTTTTTGTTCAACTTCGACCACCATTTGCACATAGTAGATAGGTCGTCAGGAAAAAAACTATTAGTAATAAGCTTTAAATTAACATATATTTAAAAGATGCAGTAATTCTCGAACATTTTCAAGAGTTAAGTTGAAAAAGTTCTATTTTTTATACGTCTGTTTCAAGTTTTGAACGTCTCTTGTAATTTTCCAATTGAAAAAAAAAAGTATGTCGGATAAAAAGGCTATTGATAAAGTATTTAGAAACAAAAATTTGTGTTAATCTATACATTTTTCAAAAAGTTATAGCAATTTAATGTTGAAAATATAAAATTGACACATTTTAACACAAAAATAGCATATTTTTAAATACGACAGGCATTTGTACTTTTTATTTTAGCTTCGCATCGAAGCTAAAAAAACTATTAAAGTATGTATTACTTTTATACTAATTATTAGTTTTAAACATGAAAATTTAGAACACCATAAAATAGCATTACTCATAACTGATATTTTTTTAAATGTTTACTCAGTCAGAGTCCAACTATTATTATCCTTTTATCTATTGAAAGTAAATCAGTTAAAATGTTTTACTAAAATAATATTGAAGGGGTCCATGCAAAAACAAGACAACTCCAATTTTGGCGAAAATAGATTTTTATGAATACCACTACTCTTCCTTACACCGGGCATATGTTACTGGATTAACCCCTACTTTTCTATGTAAATAATTCATTATGTAATTTATTTAGTACTTGACTTAGAATGTTGATATTATTACTTTCAAAGTTACTAAGCATGTAAAATTAATTAAATTTTTTTTTAGCTTATATGCGAAACTGAGAAGGTATTGGTTTTACTAGATGTGTTTTTTTTTGTTGTGTTGTGTCTGTTACCACTTTTTCTCAGCTCTCAACGAACTGATTTCTTTCAACGATACTTCAAAAAATCAGAAATCGTATCTAGACGAAGACATAACCTTCAAAAAATGAAAAAAATTCACTCGTTCCCCGAAAATAGAGGAAATCTCTAAAAAAAATTATAAATATGAAAATCACTTATTTTCGACATTTTTTATTTAAAACTGTCATAACATTTTGAAAAATTTATGAATTTAAACATTTTTTTTATAGATTTTATAAGGTATTTATCTATCAGTTAATTTTTTATTCGAAAATATTTATTTTAACTTTAAACTTATATATGATCAGTTTTATATCCTTCTACTTCCAGAACTTAACATGCTACAGAGGGTGGTGATCCACTTTCACATGTTAGGGAGTCAGTGCTGGTTCTTGGCTAGGCAAATGATGGATGGTACGAGTATTCTGGCCAGCTTGCGCCAGAGTCCAGGCACCACTAATCTCGTTGGCACCCTGGTGATCAAACCCGAGACCCTGTGCGCCGAAACATATATTTCTACCCAATTGTTAAGGCCAACCCTTGACATTAAACTTCTATAACATTTAAAATAATTTTTTTATTAATTTTGTATATTTCCACGGCCCTTTCAAAAAAATTTAAAATTAAATATGATTTCCATAAAAATTATTGATTTTAATTTACATTGAATATAAAGTTTTACATATTTTTAATTTTTTGCTTTGTTTATTTCACTAGAAATTTTGAACTAGCTTCAATTGTCCTTTTCACTACCGAAAAATTGATGGACGGTTTCTGCATCATTAATGCCAAGGTCATTTAAGCATAAAGTACGTAATTCGTTTAAGCCCCTCTGCTAAAATTGACTTTTTTTGCATTAAATGATATATATATTATATGTTAAGTCAACTAATTTATTTAGAAACATAGTATAGATATTCAGAAACTCACAAAATAAATTAAAACATTATATTTTTTTACAAATGTACAATATTAATATTTGAAAACAAAACGTCTTTTTTTTAATTTAATAAAATAAAACGATAAATTTTTTATTATAATTAACACGAAATAATTATAGTGATTTATTTAATAGTTTATAAGTTCAATTATTTAGTATTTAGTTGCTTATTTAAGTTAGATAAAATTTAAAAGTTATTTTTCTCAACTTAAAAGAAGCAAAACAATTTAAATAATTTAACTTTTTATGCTATGTCAATTATATTTATATAATACTTTTAAAAATTAGTGTAATCCCCTTGTCAGATATTTTAAAATAAAATAAAATACAAAACCTAAAATTTTAACACAAAATTAGCATATTTTTGAATACGGTAGTCATTTTCATAATGATGACAAGTCAAGAAGTCAATTTTTTTTTTTTTTCAAATTAAAGTATATTACATAAGTTTTAAATTAAGATATATATAAAAATGTCAGTATTTCCGTAACATTTTCAAAATTTAAGTTGAAAAAGTTGCCATTTTTAAATCCCAACAGTGGGTAGGTAAAGGGTCAGATTTTCACAAAATTTATACCAGATGATAGGTAAATATCTATGGTAACTATATAAAAAAATTGTTGATTTGTAAATTTTTAAGAAGTTATGGTAATTTTAAGAAAAAAATGTCAAAAATTACCAATTTTTACTATTGAAATTTTTTTGGGAATTTCCCCTATTTATGGGGAACGAGAGTATTTAGTTCAATTTTTGAGGGTAATGTCTTCGACTAGGTACAATTTAAGATCTCTTGGCGTATTTTTCATAAAAATCGGTCCAGTGAGAATTAAATGAGTGATAATGATACAAAAAAAAATCATGATAAAATTAATACTTTCTTATCTTCCCATCGAAGCTAAAAGTTGATTAGTAGGTTAGATATGTTAAATATAATTTTCTAATACTAGACTGACTAAAAATATCTATTATTATTATATTGAACATATCAACTGATCAAGTTAGTTATTTTGACCCATAGGTCAATATAATCACTTTATTATACATTTTTTTAATACATTACCTTCAGGTCGATAAACGTTGAGATACAGACAATCTTCAGACATACGAATTTGCAAATTTGGCATGAGTGCTTCAAACACTCGGTTACGATTATGCAACATTTGCGGGTCTTGCATGCATGATGGCATGTGAACGGAACCATTTCGTATTCCAGACCACGCTGGCAGGGGATCTACATTTGGTGGTGCGAACCGTAAATTTCCCACTGGAGGCTGAGCAAATGGCAAGCCCAAGTACATCCAAGCCCGATGGCCTATTTTAGACAGCGTCACTTCAACGCCCGATGTGACACCCTGCCTGCGAATTGTTACTGGTGGCGCGTCTCGAATAAGTATTCTTTGGCCTCCACTGTTAGATAAGTACACCAATAATATAAGTAACGAAAACCACATAGCTAGAATGGATTTTTAGTTGGTGCTCGTAACCGTAAAGTGCTGCCTGTTCCACCCGCTTACGACACAGTTATGGTCGATCAACACGAACAAAAAGCGTGCCGACGCTGTATATTCGTGTACATTTCCTCCCTTCATTTCTCCATGTTCGCTTAATCCAATCACCTTACGAGGACTTACAGCACCGGAACTCGATCGTGTTATTTTGTATTCGAGGCGAAAGTTATTATTTCCATGATTCATGAATTTTCTGCGTTTTTTTTTCTATTTAAGTGTGCGTGCATTTGTATTTAAATATATATAACCGGCTTAAACACAATATAATTATTCACGAGTATATAGCAAAGAAAAAAACAATAAGTGTAATTCAAGTATCATCAATTTATTTTAAATATAAAGAAGCCTTTAATTTTGAAAAATTATAAATAACACTTTAAAATATTGGTAACGTAATAAGGTAATGTATACAGCTATTGGCGCACCTTAAGAAAGTTACACTTCTTATTACACAATCTCATTTAAAACTATAATTGGAAATTTGAAATACGTTTTAAATGATTGAAATTGTTATTATCTTCCTAAATATACTAAAATAATTTATCGTAAACATTTTTTAGCTTCAATGCGAAGCTGAGAAGGTATTGGTTTTACTAAGATGTGTTTTTTTTTTTTTTTGTGTCTGTTACCACTTTTTCTCAGCTCTCGCCGAACGGATTTCTTTCAACGATACGTCAAAAGATCACAACTCGTATCTAGTCGAAGAAATTACCCTCAAAAATTGAAAAAATTTCCCTCGTTCCCCGTAAATGGGGGAAACCTCCAAAAAAATTACAAATTTAAAAATCTCTAATTTTCGAAATTTTTTCATTTTTTTTTTACTTATAATTGCCATAACTTTTTTAAAAATGAACATATCAATATAATTTTTTTTTTATAGATGATTGATGTCTTTACCTATCATTTGGTATATTTTTTTTGTAAATTTGACCTTTTTTCTGCCCACAGGGGGGAATGTAAAATGACAACTTTTTCACAACAAATTAACTTTTTCAACTTAAATTTTGAAAGTGTTCCGGAAATACTGACACTTTTATATATATCTTAAATTAAAGCTAATATAATATACTTTATTATGGAAAAAAAAAATTTCGGACTTTATTTTATCTTCACGGTGAAAATGGCTACCAAATGCTATTATTGTGTGAAAATTCTCAATTTTATTTTTTACATTTTTAACTTTATAATGCTATAACTTATTGAAAAGTGTATTGATCAATATAATTTTTTTATGGGAAATACTATTTTTTAATATTCTATTTTTCATTCGACATACATTATCTTAATCAGGATATTAATAAGGAACTAGCAGTTTATGAAGCTTTTGGAATAATCCACGAATTTTTAAAATTAAACACTATCTAAAGATTTGCATCGAAGCGTTTTTTTTTATAGTGATTTTAATCACTGTCAGATATCATTATACTTGATCCAACTATGCCACGTCACCACTGTGCCGCGACCCCCCTGTGCTGGGTTTTTTAAAATTATTTTAAAATTATAACATTTTTGAATATGTGCATAATCTATAAATTTACTTTTAAATCCCGTAACTGTTAATGAACTAATGAACCGCCGTTGAGCACGCTGTTATTGAACCAATGAACGACAATGGCACTGTTATCGAACTTTTTAATGCCAAACCAAGGAATGGTCTATGAACTTTAACTGAACTTTTGTAGAATTGAGTCCACCCCATGTTAAAATCCATATTCAAATCTCATTATGAACTCTGCTATGAACGGGTTTTGAACTGAGTTCAGCACCGTTGTTACAATATTAAATGAACCCGGTATGAACTCGAATTGCTACTCAAGATATGTCTTGCTATAGTTTAAAAAAGAACGAAAAAACACCAATATCCATTCCAAACATTAACAAAATATTTATTGAGTTAATAATAAATAAACATAAAATAAATATGTAATATCAGACTAATTGATCTGGAAATCAGAAAAAATAAGTAACAAGTAGTTTTTACTTTATTACTACTTGAGTTAAATATAATAATGCAAGTCTACATCTGTTGATGTGATGGGTAAGCACAATAAACACAGGTTTGTTTAATAAAAAAATTATTTTTTATTTTTGGTGTTAGACTTGTGATTAATATAAGAAAAGTAAAACACCATTATCTAATATAAAAGACAAAAAATTAACCAAATGATAGTTGCCGTAAATGCGAAAATCATGCATTTCTATGTATGACTATTATCCTTACAGTGCAAATATGTACATTGGCTATGTAGGTTTTTACTCTCTCACACAAGATTTACTTCTAAAAAAGAACCTTAAATAAAAATATAAATAACAAAAAAATATAAATCAATAATGTGTCATGACAACATAAAATCAATATTATAGTTGCGATACATTAAGAAATAACTCCAAATTGTTTTTTTTAGATTCGATTCAAAACTGAAAAGGTATTAATTTTACTATGTTTTTTTTTTTTTTTTATGTCTATTGCCACTTTTTCTCAGCTCTCACTTGACCGATTTCTTTCAAAAGTACGTCAAAAAATCACAAATCGTATCTAGTTGGAGACATTACCCTTAAAAATTGAAAAATATTCCCTCGTTCCCCGAAAATGGGGGAAATATCCAAAAAAATTACAAATTTAAAAATCGGTAAATTTTGTCATTTTTTTCACTTTTTTTTCTTAAAACTTCCATAACTTTTTGAAAAATAAACAAATCAACATAAATTTTTTTCTACTAAACCTTAGATATTTCNTAAACAAATCAACATAAATTTTTTTTCTACTAAAACCTTAGATATTTCCCTTTCGTTTAACATCATTTTTTTGAAAATCNAAAATTTTTTTCTACTAAACCTTAGATATTTCCCTTTCGTTTGACATCATTTTTTTGAAAATTTAACACTTAACCTGCTCATGGGGGGGGATTTAAAATAGCAACTTTTTTACAAAAACTAACTTTTTCAACTTAATTTTTGAAAATGTTCCGGAAATACTGCGTCCTTTAAACATATATCAAATTAAATCTTATTTTATGTGCTATAAAATGAAAAAAGAAAATTGTAACCTAGTGTAAATAATAGAGTCCCACAAGTTATAGAGGCCGATAATAATGTATCGCTATCTAAATTGCCTATAAATTTACTACCAGTAACGTTACCAAATTTTTCCGGTGATTATTATGAATAATCAACATTTTATGATTTGATTAAAAATTTAATTCAGACAAATACTAGTTTGATGCCGATTCAAAAATTTTTTTATTTACGCGGTTTGTTGAGCGGAGATGCCTTACATTCGATTAAATGTCTAAGTATGTCAGCTGAAAATTACACTGCGGCTTGGAAAACGTTAACAGAGCGGTTTAATAACACAAAGGTATCGTGCAAAGTCATGTGAAAGCGATTTGCGACATGGATACCTTGAATAGTGAATCTACTATAAAACTAAGGCAATTTATAGATAAATTAAGTAATCATATCCAATGTTTGAGAACGCTTGGGTATGAGCCGAATAATTGATGTCCGTTAATGGTTCATATTGTTATGATAAAATTAGATAAAATGACTTTACGCGCTTGGGAAACGTCTACTTGACAAACAAAAGTAGCCAGCCGAGCCAAATGAATTATTAGAATTTTTAGAAAGCCGTTTTAAAATATTAGAATCGATGGAAACATAAAAAACGATCACTACGCGTGTTCTGGAGTAAATGATCTAAGCAGTAAAAATCAGAATATAAAGAAAAAATTATTTACTAAATCATTTGCAGTAACTGATAAGACATTGGAATGTTTTGTATGTAAAGGTCCACGTACAATTTATCATTGTCCAACTTTTTTAACGTTATCCGTTCAAGAGCGTATGAATAAAATAAAGTAATTGATTTAAAACTTTGTCGAATTAGCTTAAGGCAGCATGCGGGTAAAAAATGTTTATCGAAATATTGTTTGCGATGCTCAAAATCGCATAAACTTTGTTACATTTCGTTCAATGCACGCCAACTGTAACAGCTGATCTGAACGTAAACAATAACACACTGATATCCAAATCGGTAGAACAGATAGAAACAACGAGCTCGCACAACGCAATAGTTCCTACCTTTGAACAAGTCGTTTTATCAACCGCGGTAGTATCAATACGAGATAATAACAATAAACTACAACCGTGCCGTCTTTTATTAGAATCCGGTTCACAGAGTAATTTTATTTCCGAATCATTAGTACAGGAATTTTAATTGAGTATACGGACTGTATACTAGTGGCGGATCCAGAATTTATTCCAGGGGGGGGGGCGTCATACGATACATTTTTTTCTTTTAAGAACTGATTTATTATTTTGTGTTTATTACATTACATGTTTTTATCACATTTCTATTTTTAAAAATTCGTTTAATGTTTGCTGCATAATAATTTTTTTAATTACTATATTATATATTTTTTGATGACTTTAAAGACATAGGTATATAAAAATAAACTCGTTAATCAAAATTAATTGCATATGAAGAACTTTATTTGAAATTAAAAGCTATTTAACAAAAAAAAACAAAATATACATTTCTTACAATATTATCCTGCACCCCAGAGAAGACAATGAGCATGGTCTTTGTTTTCGACTTGCTCATGCACACCTTGAGCATGGCCAATGCTTCAGTAACTATGCGATATACTGTTGATTTTGGCAAGTTTAAGGCTTCTAACATTTGGTATACATTGAGCCGATGGTTGGTGTTTAAGCAATCGCACACACGTTCCACATTGGCATCTGTCCGCGAAGTTAATGGGCGCCCTGACCTTGGTTCGTCGACGACGTCCTCTCTGCCCTCCTTGAACGCCTTGTGCCACTCATTAATTTGAGAACTCGACAGAATTATCCGGGAAAGCCATCTGGAGCATTGAGATTGTTTTAGTAGCGGTTTTTCCCAGCCGAAAACAAAACTTGATTACGTAACATTGTTCAATTGTTTTTTCCATGAAACTTCCTTCGGGGAATCTCACGTCCTGTCGCTTCCAGAGCTCAGAGTAAAATGCGGCCAGTCTGTAGTAGTTTGTTAGGGTTCCCCCCACTGTTCCTGACCGGTCATAGCGCGCTGGATTATTTAGTCACGTCAGAAAAAGAGGAGACTCAATACTTTTGGGATGAACCCTGTACATTTATTATATTATTTACTGGTAACAGTACGCGATTTCTTTTCCATGAAAATTATTAACAATTGGATAAGCATTTATAATTGACATGAAAAAACAATTAGTAGTATAATTCAGATTATTAAAAAAAATTATAGAAACATTGTCTAAAACATGTTGAATTTTTAATTAAATAAGTTCATATATCAGAAATTCAAACGTGAATAATAGTGAATAAGTCCATTTATTATCAAATTTCCTAACAAAGAATATCCTATAATAATATGATTACAATGATAGAATCACGTAAATTAATAATTGTTATCACTTTTAACTTGGCTAACCATGGAACACTCGTAGTTGACATACGATAATGTTTCTAACTTTTGTAATAAAGATTAGAGATAATCATTTCAGTATAAAGCGCGTTAAACGTTATTATTATCCATGGAAAAGAAATCGCGTACTGTTACCAGTAAATAATGTAATTAGTGTTTACTTCTGTATTTTACATAATATGGACTGACATTTGATACCACAAGGAAAATTATATATATATATATATATATATAAAAATTATTTTTTGTAATTGCGAAAAATAACATCAAACATATTTTAAATATAGTTCTATTTTGTAAAAATGTATTAAAAAAAAAAAAGTATAAAATGTTATGAAAGAAATTGATCCAGTAAGAGCTGAAAAAAAATGACGAAAATAGTAAAATTAGTACTAATTAACTATATAAGATGTCTCAACATTTTTGTGGATTTTATCAAATTTGTGTTTCTTGCCATCAATATTCTTAAGTAAAAAAACAAAATTTTAACTTTATAAAAGTAAATTAACTTCAACTGTTTGTTGACTCATAATATCTTGGGCTTCACGAATAGACAAACCCTCATCGCGATATAATTTTTTTTATAATATTATATATGTTGTAGTAACAAATTGTATCATTCAGTAACGTCTCTCAGCACGTTAGGACTTAGGGAATAGGTTTAGGGAAAAGACTTGAAACAGGAGATTCATCTTTGAACACTTGTATTCTGTCTGAAATGTTTGAAAATACTTTTTTGTCAGATGAAAGAAGTTTATAAAATCGTTAAAAGATGTTATGTAAATTATTTTCCGAAAAAGAAATTTAATTGCTACCTTTATATAAGACGCGTAGTCACTAACTAGCAATAAAACGTTGTTATGTTCTACGCATTTAGGCAAAATTAAACCATATTCCATGTACGTCCTGGGAATATAAATAACACGTATACATATCTATAAGTCATTTTATGTGACTTCATAAATCGAATTTGTATTTTACTCGTGTATGAATTAGGTTGTGCTAAAATTAAATGTATAGTCATAAACATCCGAGCCGTCCTATCCATTACTACAATTTTTAAATTTTTTTTATAATTCATTAAAAATTAAAATAGTTGTTTTTATTGACAAATTCTATTAATTATAAGCATTTACCACAAAAATATTAATTTATTTCCAGTAAAAAACAGTAATAAATCCCAATAAAAAAAAAATAAGGTGTAAATAAAGTGACAAAATGAACAAGGTTTTGACACGGTCACGGCGTTGTCATCCGTGTTACATCTCGCGGTCGCGCCAGCTCCTTCACAAACACCGACCCACTATAAACCGGACCGTTACACACACACGTTATCGTCGACGTGTAAAGTCCAACAAATGCCTAGTGTCGAATATCTGCCGTAATAATACGTAGTTAGTACTCATTTATCTAGGTGCTGCTTGTGTACCACAATCATTTATAAACATAATCAATATGATTATTGCTTAAAAAAAATACTTCATAACAAACAATTTTCGTAAAGTCCTTTTTTATTTTATTTTTTTAATTACTCGTTGAAAAATATTTTAATAATTAAAATTTTTTTTTATTACTTAAAATTATCCATCTTTTAGTATTTATATTATATATTCAAGAGGAATGGCAAAGTGTGCTGATATATTCTATACACAAAAAGGAAGATAAGCAGTTGTGTGATAATTATAGAGGTATCGCTCTATTATACGCTACATATAAAGTGCTATCCAAGTGTATATTAAACAGAATTAAGCCGTGGGCAGAAGATATTTTAGGAAATCATCAAGCAGGTTTCAGACAAAATAGATCTACCACAGATATTTGTTTTGAAACAAATTTTTCAAAATATATGGGAGATTAACATAGAAGTACATATACTATTTATTGATTTTAAGAAGGCGTATGGTTGCATACATAGAGAATCGATGTTGAATGTACTACTAATATAGTTTAAATTGCCCTAGAAATTAATTAATCTGATAAAAGCAAACATCCTACACACGGAAATCGAGATCAAAGTTGGTAATATTGTATTACAAGGGATACTAGTATCCAGTGGTTTGAGACAAGGGGACGATCTGTCGCCCATACTATTTAATATAGCGTTAGAAAGGGTCATTAGGGAGAACCATATTGAAGATAACGGAGTACAATTGGACGGTTGCATAATAGGAGTACAAAGACGATATAGTATTATTTGCGGAAAAAAAGGAAAATCCTAGGGAGCTAGCATACGGCAAAAAGAATAGGTTTAGAAATAAACGTTAAAAAAACTGAGTACATGATTGTGCAGAGAGGAGAGCTCGCGGATCATGTTCGCCCATTTCTGGAAGTTGGACAGTACAAGTTTCAGAGAGTGCAAGAGTTCAAAACCCAACCAAACCTATAGCAAGTAGACTTCTGCGATCACTAAGGAATGGACCAAATAAAACTGTCGAGGCATTACTACTGCCAGACGGAATGTTCACCAATAACGATAATGAAACATTATCACATTTGATGAACACACCTTTTCCTGACTCTGCAATTAACAACAGAGAACAGGAACATGATGCACAGGACAAACGTGTGACCTGTGCTGATTGGAGACTAACCAGGAAAGTGATAACCCCAAGTGGAATAAGATGGGCAATAAAATTGTCCCCCATCTCTGCAAAATATTTAGGACATGCCTTGCCTATGGTTATCAACCAGAAAGCTGGCGAAAAGTTAAGGTGGTGTTTATACCCAAACCTAACCGGACTAACTATTATGAAGCAAAATTCTAAAGGCCAATAAGTCTTACTTCATTTCTTCTTAAGACTATGGAGAAACTTATTGATAGGTACATTAAGGAGGGCTCTCTGAAGGATAACCCTTTACATGAAAACCAACATGCGTATCAAACGGGGAAATCTACTGATACAGCTGATACGATCACATTTGCATGTGCCCATATCTCTGTCTCCCATACCATCGTTGTACCGTTTAATAGACATATATATATATATATATAATTAACACAGTGACATACAGCAATACTAACAGGAGGGCGGACTGCACACATAAACACTTTTTGCAATTCACGGCCAATGTGCCATAATAAGATATCCCTATCAACAGTTGACATTTTACCATCTTCGCGATCACTACTTTTGCCTGATAATTAACTTAACTTCGCTACCCCGTATATTATAGTGTGTGTGTGTGTCGCCGTCAGCTCCCTGTTGGATTAATCATCTCTAGGTGCCCAGCAGGTTGTATTATCCATTTAATATTTCAATTGTTTAATAAATATTTATTTATATCGTTGTTAACCTAAAGTGTTATATATATATATTGTAGTGCGACTCTTGGTAGTTCCTCTAAGGGAATATAAATTAAATAGGAAACTTCAGTACCTAAGGTAGATATAGCCTAGCCAGCTATCCCCCGTTGGTCCCTTAGAATACTGTCCACGGGCATTTAGGCTAAACCCCTAAATAGCGACGTAACAATTGGTGGAGGCGCCGATCTCTCTGTTTTATTTTAAACTTTCAGTGAGGGATCCCCCCTAAGTGTACTACAATTTTTATATACCGCTTTTCATGGTTAATTTATAAATTAAATATTTTTTATTTATTATTGGCTCAATTATTGGGAAAATTCATATACGGAAGAATTAATAAAAACCGGAATTTTAACGCTAAACGCGGGTTGTCTAGTCCATACACCTAATAACATCCTAGCAACACACACATTTATTAAACAATCATTCCAAACAAATTTCGTGCCCCAATTAACATTATCAAATAATAGTTTATTTTTACCGAAATTTGATAAAATCAATAATTCACCGGCCATTATAAAACCCAACATAATCCCCATCGATTCTGGATTACATGAACTAGGGAAATATTCGGAAAATTTGGATGACGTCATCAAAACTATCGAGGCCACAGAAAAAACAATAGAATTTGAGAATGAAATTAAAAATAATCAGATATTGTTCCTCATTATCCTATTTCTTATCGGATATATACTTTTATATTTTATAGCTAGATATATTAGGGGCAAATGCACGCATTCCCCCCGCACGGAGCCTCCAGTAGTTTATTCTACGCGCGACGAACGATACATCCGCTAAAATCTTAACCGCTTATTTCCTCACTATTTTCTACATTATAAATTCAAATTTTCACTAAATAAAATTTACAATATACAATCATAAACCATTGTGTCATTATTCTATAGCTATGGACACATTTTACAATGGTAAACTTATTCTCATCAACGTTTCCATCAAACAATTCTTTTACTCCTCGAGTGGGGCGCTCGCCCACTGCTCCAGCAGCGACTTCGACAATCCCAGGAGAATGTCCCGAGGAGTAGCCACATTATTTAGTAAACACTTCGGTAAGCCAACAAGGTCCACTAGGATATCCAAACATTTGTGCGTTCAATCTACTAGACAAAATATTATATTAACAATGCTAACAAAGCCGCGTTTCAATAGTAAACCATACCTACAAGATTACTCAAATGCCATTTCGGAATTGGCAAATTTTCTTACACAAAACAATATATGGTTCGTTACAATCCCTCCCATAGGGATAAAATTCCAGTGACATTCGGATTAATGTGTATCACCACCATCCTTATAGGTAGAGGCATTTCCGTCCGCTTATGTGCCACAGGACAACTACACAACGAGATTAAGACATATCTTAACTATCTGTAATTTTATTATTATACTTATTTATGATATATGTATATACATATTTCTATTAATTAAAAAGTTACTTACGCATGGACTTTTATTTATTCTGATTTTACTCCTTACCACACTTTCACCTTCATATGTTAATACATAGGTCATTTTGGTGTTCGATAACTAGGTCAAATTATTAACCTCTATAGTGTATACGTTGCATTCACCTAATTGCCATTTTGCCATCTCGCCATTTTTTTTTATATAGCCATTCATAGCCAATCATCACTAACGCCACTGCCACGGTCAATGTCACGACCATTACCATGACCAGGCCCGTATTTAAGGGAGGGCTCGGAGGGGCAATTGCCCCTGGCGGCAATTTTAAAATTAGGTTTAGGGGCGGCAAAATATTGAAATGGTCAAAAATGTAAAATTTATTTGTAGCTCATTTTACCTAATGAGTATAATCATTGATTATAGATAGAGATTATAGATATTATATACTATCTATAATCAATGGTATAATACAAAAATATAATATATAATTAGTATAATAAAAAAATAACTATAATAATATAATTATACCAAAATAGATTTTGAATGTAGAATGTACCTAATAAAGTTCTGATAAAGTTTTTATTCGTTATCAACTCGAATGTCAATAAAATGCTTTGGGCATATTGATGTTGTAAACATATGATTCGTATTTAGTTCTACGAATCGTAGACTATGAAAAATACATACTAAAAATAGAAAATATACAATTGGGGTATTCCCATGATATAAGGAGCTACGAAACTACGACTGCCGATTATTGACAATTTACACTACTATTAAGTATTATTATTTATTATAATATTATCGATAACAAAAATCAAAATACAATTATTAGTGCATTATTCATGAACGAGTACTGACGTGGTGTCGTGGTCTGTTAATCAATCTATTTTAACTATTAATTAATATTATACATTTATACTACGCGTGTATATTCAAAACAGTAAGTATTATAATTTATCATTGATTTTAAAATATTATAAAACCAATAGTATTATATGGTATTTAATATTTATATTGTAGTAAAGACTATTATGATTAATTATTTACAAAATGTTAATTGTGCTTTAATTCTAATAGTTAGAAAAAAAACAATTATTGTTCTTAAGAGTTGCGGAATATTAGTTACGATATAATTTTTCTCATATAAGTCACGAATTTACATTTTGAATAGGTCGGTACATTTTATATTTGTAATAATGTTTTATACCTATTTTACTTAGTTATGGCTCCAAGAAGAAATAGGCTTAGTGGGGCTGAATACAAGAAAATAGCTAAGCTCAAAGAATTTAATTTGAATAAAGTTGATCAAAAAACTATTAAAATCGACACGATGTTCAAAAGTAAGTATTTTATTTATGTTCACTGTAAAGTAAACTAATAATAATATAAAATTTATATAAACACATAATAAGTTTAATTTTTTTTTTTTAAGAAATCAAATATTATTAAACCAAACCAATCTTAATTATTATATTATTGCGGAAATTTAAATAATTAAATATAACAATTGCTTAAAAGTTAAATATTATA